ACAAAATCTCTAAATCGTCATCTCGCTTCTATCAATCTATCCAGTCACAATAATAGCGCTCTTAAATTCGACAAGAGTCCTGAACCGGTACCAGTTTACGCGGACGTTTCATCATCTACAGTCCCGTAAATCCTTCATCTTGATCAAATAAAATCGCCGTCGACGATAACGATAATATTTACGGATAGAGGCACCATTGGCCGCGGGATCAATCATTTCACTCTTCAGCGACGCAATCGCATTATGTAAGATCGGGCCGATGGTGAAACGCATGCAGAATGAAATCGTGGCGGATCAAACCGCGAAAGGCCTGGCGCGGTATTTAAATTTCTGTTTGCAGAGCTTCTTTGGCGTGCTCATTTGCGGGGCCGCGCGTCTCGAGCAAGAAATTTCTTATTCTCCGGCGAGAATAGCCGCGAGATACCTTCCTGCTCCGCGGAGTCACGTTTACGCGTGCGTCCGTGCGTGCGTGTACAAGCGGATCGCGTGTAACAGGAATATCGCGCGTGGGGACTCGCCTCTATTGCGAGCAGGTTGCTTATATTTGCAGTTTTATGCACTCAGCCGCACCTTCGCCGGCTCGATACTCCGGGCGGTCGACAGAGACGCGAGTATGTACTCATCTGCCTGCAGACGCCATCTTCTTTCCCCCATCATCCTAAGCTCCTTCTACGCCTTCTTTATATTTCTCACGATTTTCCCGGCTTTGCCTAATGACTCTAATCAAACCCACGCGCGAAATTGATTGCTCAATGCACTGAAACGCAATTCGCGGTGCATTTATGCAGTACAATGACACGATTTCCGCGTGCAAAATGAAGCGTAAATTGTGCGGATACAATTGTTATAATTGTTTGTGCAAAGTCGTTCATTTTATGCTATGTAGAATGCATGAACTGGAACGCAATTCGTGGTGCATCCGTGCAGTCAGAATCAGATGATTTTCTTACGCGAAATTAAAGACAAATTTTGCAGATTTAAACATGATAATTGATTCTGCAAAGTCGTCAATTTTATGATGCATAATAATTGTGCTAATTAATGAATTAGACAGTGTGCAAGTATAAATTGTGGATGCAATCTATAGTGCATTAATGCGTCTAGACTAGGTCGCTTTTCTGATGCAAAGGTGAAGATAAATTGTGTGAACACGATCATAATTGATTAATGAAAAATATACACAAAATTTACTGAAATATGGATAACGTTTCCTCAATTTTGTGGATTAGTATAATAACGACTAGATCACTTTGCCAGACCTCTACATTGTTTCACATAAAGATCGTCCCAATACGCACTGGATGTCTTAAAGACGTCCGTAAGACGTCTTGATTCGCAATACAGGACGTTTCTAGGCCGTTCGTAAGCCGTTCATTGGACATTCGTGACGCCTGAGATAACCGGACGTCTTCGTTGTATCTGTGATACGAAGCAGAAATTGTTTTCACAAAGCAAAGGACTGCTTCTGAAGATGAAATGTTCGACAAATTTGCAAACACCATAAACTCACGAGCACCCACAACCCGGTCACGGATACCGTCAATGGAACGGTTCATTAATTCAGAAAATGATTGCAGCCCGTACGCCCCTGTGAACCACTTCGCCGATGGAATAAAGATTTACGTTTACGATAACGATTAATACAAAGACCCATAAAGCGGCTCGTAAATTTCCGGCAAACCGCTTGTTGCACTGCAAATCAAAAATCAAATCATCGCGTTGTCGGGATCCATTAAATCTCGCGTTGTACAATTTCGTGAAAATCTTCCGTTGCCACGAGTACATAAAGTTCCGGCGCGGCTTGGCAACCATTTAACGAACAGTGCGTCGTAAAGGGGAGTCGCTTCTACGATCGGAGGATTCTGCTAAACGGCAATAACGATCACTAAAACGTAATTTCCTGTGCCGTCAGAACGTACGCAGCCGCAATGGGAAACGATTTCACGGCAATTGACGGCAGGTTTCAAGGCTCGGAGGAGCCGGCTGGATCGTGGCGCCGGTTTTACGCGATCGGGCCTCGATACCGTGGAGTTATCAATTGCCCTCGATTATAGAATCGCACGATAGCGGCTTCTACGTTATAAATCAACGGTTCGGAGAGAGTCCGCGGGAATCCGAGGCAGATTCCGCCTCGGTTCACCGGCGTGTACCAGATTAGCCGGTCGCGATTATGTCGTGCGATGTTGCGTGCCGCGTAAGGGACCCTCCCGATCGATCCAGGAAGATTCGAGGCCATCCGCGTGAATCGATATTTATTCGGACCTATCCCTGTAATTAATTGATGGAAAAATCATGGCTCGATTTATTAGCTTCTTCACTTCGTACGCGGAACAAATTTTACGGAACCGATCCAATCATCTGGCTTGCACGCTTTCATTGTGCAGAACTAATCCCATTAAAGCAACTTATAGTGATCGTCATTAGTTAACGTCGCAGCGATAACTAAACTGCGGGCTTTTAAATTGCGATGAAACTTACGAAGAACTGGAGAAAGATATCCATCTACAACTGGAAGATTTCTCGTTGCATGGATAAAATAAAAATGCTATTAGACCAATGGAAGACACAGCAATTGGTCAACCCACAGTGATCGGTTCCGCTATGCTAAAACGAAAAAGGTGTATCGACATGAAAGAACACTTCTTGATGAACTTTCTAAATCCAAATACAGTAATATCTCTCTAATCGACGCTCAGATTGTCCACAAAAATGGACAATTTTTGGAAGAGGAGATACGATTATTCGTGCCTTGCGGTTCGTTTTTATATTTACGAATTGTCAAGATTATGTCAAGGTTATGCAAGGCTCGAATAATCGTATCTCCTCTTCCAAAAATTGTTAGGGAGGCATTACTGTACCTCCGAACAGTATCTCGCTCACAAAAAAAGCAACGTTCTGAAAATCCAACTAGACCCAAGTGATCAGGAAAGATTGACGGACACAGATTCTCACCTGGACTCAGCGACAGCGATCAGCGTGTATCGGCGGAGGAAGGATGGGACCTTGTTTCCACGGACGTGTCGCGTAGCTCCGGGGACAGATCAATGGAATCGGGACGGGCCCAGGCCAGCAGCCCCTGTCCGTGGTGCAGCGAGTGGCGCGGTCGGTAGAGGCTCATGAATATTCAGCGGACAAGTTGTCCGCGAGACGCTCGGGGCTCTAACGCGTGACGTATACCCTTGTTGATCATAAGTGGGTTTGTTTCGCTGATTGTTGTCGCATCGGCTGGCCCGGCTGGCCCAGGGGGTCCGTTGAATATGCAACGCGCGGGGGCCAGTTTGCGTGCGCCGCGATATGGCGCTCGCTCTTATAGCTTCTATAATTTGCACCGTCCCGATAAGAGCGCCTTGCGTCTGGCCGCAAAACCGGCGCGAGCCTCCGCTCCGCTCGGCGCCGCTCGATGCACAATGTTTCGCTCGGAACATGGACGGTCAGAAATTCGAAGTGTCGAATCTCGAACTTTTTCTGTCGCGAGATATCTCTAACGAAACATAGTTTCTAACAGTGTTCAGCAAGATTGTACTCGGATAAAGGATAATTGATAAAAAATGAGGAATAACATTTTAATCGATTGAATATTTATTCGACAGCATCGAATCAAATTGTATTCGGAATTCATACGGAAAATAATCGATTCGAATAACAATGATCGAATGTAAAGCGTTTCTTCATAGTTTCTCGATTTATTTCTTCCGTATTACTTTGTTGAATTATTCGAGCAGAGAATCATTCGAATAAAGAATTATTGAAATAAATAGGTAGAACAATTTATGACGAATAACGAATCATTCGTGTGAAATATCGGATTAAAAGGAATGCCTCGGACGGGACCTATTTTGAAGGCGGCGGAATCAATTTTCACGAACAACTGGCTAGTTTGTGTTTCCTTTGCAAATTCCGGCTACTTTTTTCTCCGTAATATACAAGCGAAACCTTGCGGCGACGGAAGGTGGACTCTCGAGAGCGTATCACCGGTTCTCGCGGTCTACTGCATCGGGAATCTCGTGCAACGGCGTGCACGAGCACGTGGAACCGGTACATAAAGTACGAGTGACCCGGCCCGGCGTTAGATCGGACGGAGTGCGAACTAATTTACAAGATAATGCGGGCTACCAGCGCCGATTTAAAGGTCGAAGGAGTTATCGTCGGGCCGGTCTCCCGGTTCAATAGAATAATACGGGCCGGCGGAACAATTTTTTTTTTCCGCACAGCGGCCGTAATTAATGATATTCCCGCGGAATTCGCGGCGACACGCCGCAGAAAAATCGGCCCTCGGCTAAATGATATATCTCAGACGTCGCCGGAGCCAATGATCCTTGCAGAGCCGATCACCGATGCATGTCGCCGGAAACCTGCTCCCCGTGGCCGCTTTGCACGGAGCTTCAAAAGCCCGCAACACAGCTATGGGTCGCCGCGAATTCATTTACCAATGAAAACCAGTTGTCTCCGGGTCCGCGCGCAGCCGGCAATCTTCTTAATCGCGATGAATCCATCTTGACCGACGCTCACCGACCGATTGCGATCGTTAACGCCTTCCAAGCAACCGACCGACCAGTCTAGGCGTTTCCATTCTTTGGCGCATCGGCCAGCCGGCGATTGATTGTACAAGCTTCCTTTCGTTCGCGTTGTTAGCTGCTCGTCCGGACTGCGACGTCGAATTCTCGTCTCTTTGGATCGTTGGAGCTTGGATTTGAAGAGTTAACGAAGTACAGTAATGTCTCTCTGATTGTCCTCAGTAATGTCGCTCAGATTGTGCACAAAAATTGACAATTTTGGAAGAGGAGATACGATTGTTCGAGCCTTGTGGCTCGTTTTTTATGGTTACCGATTGTTAACAACTGTAAGAATGAGCTGCATGGCTCGAATAATCGTATCTCCTTTTCTCAAATTATCCATTTTTGTGTTCAATCTGAGCGTCAATTAGGGAGAATTTACTGTACTTATTTCCTGCGAAATACGGTAGAACCTCCGTTATACGAATTAATCAAGCGACAAAAGTGTTCGTACGAGAGAATTTTTCATAGTATAATAATATAATGGAACAATAAACGTTTAGAACTCAGTTTGAATGAATAATCAAGACCAAATGAATATAAAATGAATACAAATTATAGGCAATCGAAAAGTAACCATATTTTTCATTTTCCATCCTTCTTTTAACGAAATTAAACTTACGGATCCCTAACTTTTTTGGCAGTATTATATTTTTGTTCTGCAGTGTTATATTCCTTCTAGACCGCGTTTTCTAGACTCCAACGTTTGAAATGCTTCGAAACAAGGTGGTACATCTTTGTCACTGCTATCACTGATATCGTTTTGCTGATCCACTTCTTGGCTTGTAAAACATTTTGTAAAATAAAGTCGTCGGAAGCATGTGCTCAATTATTGTAACGTTTATCGAGTCGGTTACCACTCTGTTACGCTGGATTTATCACAATCTTAACATCCTCGTATCCTGTGTAGTGTGATTATGATAGACTTCGTCCTGCAAAGTCAAGGTAACATTTCATCTTCTCTCAGGATCTTCGTGCAAAATAGAACTCGCGAAGAATAGAACGTTGAGAATAGCATATAATAATATAACTAAATTCTCCTTGCGTCGCTTCGCAATTTTATATTTCAGCCGCTCGCGTTTAGCATAAACGCATAAGAACCGCGCTCCGAATCGAAATGAGAAACAAAAATTGTCTAATCGTAGAAGTTATCAAGGCAGAACAATGCTAATCCGACGCAGTTGCGAGGGGAATGACGGCGCAGAGGGTTAATCAGAGGAATCCGCGTAGCTTTGGCCGAGGCAATGTTGAATAGCATAGTTGAAAATTGCGATTGCGGAGCACGATGCGGGGCCCATAAAGTCATGAAGCTCCTCTGGCGCAATCGTGAACGCAGGGTAGACGGTAATGAGGTAGCAGGGACACAGGGTATCGCGAGGATGCTGACCGATTACTATTGCGGGTTATCCGGCGGTGATTATAGTTCGTCGAGCGGCCGGGCCGGGTACCAAACAAAATGTTCGGATTACGGGCTCCCGGTACCACTTATCGGGTCCTCAATCGAGCGTGTACCACGACAACGGTAGTCTTGCGCAACCTGTTCGAGCCACGTTCGCGACCTCGCGCTCGATTGCATCCATCGGAGCACGAATTATCGTCGGCACCTAACACGCATGATTGAGCGATCACGGGCTCTCGTTGCCGGGACGGCAGAACGCGATCGTGAGCTCCTGATCATCGTCCGGATCCGTTCCTGCGGACGTGTGTGGTCGTTCCCTCGTTCGGCAGGCTTCCTCGGTGGACGGTAGCGCTGACTGATTGCTCCTTGGCAAACGGTTGCCGATTCGGAGATAGCCGGCTACATCTGTTTCCTAGCGTATCGAACTCGTCGGGAGAAGAATCGTCGCAGCTCGTCCTCCGCTACCGCTTCGATCCGACGCGCCGAACCCGCTGTTTCGCAATCGGAAACACAGTGTCTCATCCACACCGGACTTTACGCGGCACACATCACCGATTGACAGTGTCCTGTCCGTGGAGTCTAGGGTTTCACGTCGCCCGACAGTGAAACGAGCCTGTCGACTCGATATCTCACGCGTAGGTGTGCCTTTGTTCCTAACATCTTTATAGCGCAAGGTAGACGAAAGGTAACAGAGTCCGGAAGCAAGAGCCGAAGCATTGTTGGACCATCGACTCCTACCTGGCAGAGCATCGTTCACAATGAGTCAGTTCGACAACCGATCTTGCCTCCCAGACTCCCAGTCCTGCCAGACCGACGATCTCTCTTTCAGGCTTCAGTAGGCGGACGTTCTCGCCTAGGGTTCTCCTGAAGCGCCCTGTAGGTCGATCGATACTCCGAGTAGACTGTGACAAACATGAGTACACCGTGTGTGAAGGAGTTAGGTTGTTTAGACGGATTCGGTATCGACGGACCCCGTCTATGGACTCTAAATCGATCCTCCATTGGACGAAGCGTGTTCTGAAGCAAGGTGATCTGTTCAATGAATGCGATGCAACTAACCTAATGCAAGTGAGTCTATTCTATAGAGTGAACATTCTCTGTACTGTAGGAAAAAGTGTTCGTCGATCGATGTATTTTTGACTGAATCTTGTACTATACAGGGTGTCCCAAAAATGTCTCGCAATCCGGAAATGACGGGTTCCTAAGATCATTTGAAGCAACTTCTTCCTTTACAAAAATTTTCTACGAGGCACCGTTAACGAGTTATTAACGAAAAACAGTGACCAATAAGAATCGAGTACGGCTGACGCGAGGCGGGCCAGCCAACCAGCGCACGAAGCCCAGTTCCGCTCATTGGCTCGGCCGCCTCGCGCCAGCTGAGCTCGCCTCTCATTGGACACTGTTTTTCGTTGATAACTCGTTAACGATGCCTCGGAGAAAATTTTTGTAAAGGAAGAAGTTGCTTCAAATGATCTGAGGAACCTGCCACTTTCGGATTGCGAGACATTTTTGGGATACCTTGTATTTTCAAAAAATGCTAAAATTGGATTCAGCGATACTGATGAATGAACTCAGCAGTGAAATAACTCACCTATGATGATATCCTTTAGAAATAACGATTCCTAGACGATTGTTTCAACAAACATGCAGTTTATATGTTTATTCACTGCCCAGGTCAGCCAGCATAGAGGACAGTCGCAGGACACTTGAATCCAAAACGGTGAACATCTCTTGTCGAATCGGTGACATCCCTTATCAGAACAAGAACCAGAGATGGAACTAGTTGGTCAGCTTTGAACGTGTCTGCATAAATCGGGTTCTCCTTTTTCCCTGCTTCCTGCAACAAAATATTCTCCTTTAATACGAAGACAGAGTTCTGCAACTGCGAGAACTGCATAAAAGTGTTCGAAAGCCGTGTTCTTCCCTCGTGAATTCATCCGGTCCCCGACATTATCGCGACTTATCGATATTAAATTGGCGGTAAACGGCCGGTTATCCGCGAGGATGAAGAGTCATCGGTCTTCCGGGTCATCCTATTAGATCACGCCGGGAAGATACCGCGATGCATGTACGGGCTCTGCTCCCCTGCTCCTGCCGGCGCATTTACCTAGCTCGTAGAGCCGGCGCATTCGCCTGTGTGCGCTTCGACGTCGGCTGTGTGCGCGCGCGGTAAACGCGAGAGGGCCGCTGATCGTGTCTCGCACGTCCGCGAGGAGGATTGATTTATCACACGCCAGGAGACAGATTGCCGTACGACGCGAGCTCGTTCGGCTCCGGAGGAGTTGTAGACAGAGTCGCTAAGAACCGAGAGAGAAAAACGACTGCGGGGAAAATGGAGTGAATGGAGCGGAGAGGAGAGGAGGCACCGAGAGGACGAGGGAATCCCGAGGAAGCGGACCTTACGCGCTTATTTTCGGAGGATCGCGAAATTCGAAGGAACGCGCGGTTTCTGGAAAGCTATGGGTGCTGACAGGGTGCTAGTCACTGTTCCAATAATGCTTGCAATTGAAGGGTTTCTTTTTGGCGGACTTTCTTTCATTGTTGCACTCGTGAAGTGCAATGGGATCTAGATGCAAGTGCTGTTCATGCTTTGTCAAGGTATAGCGGTGTTAGAACAAGTAACTTGACCTAAGCCGCGGTGTAAGGAGAAGTAGACTTTTGCAGACGTTCCACCATCTGTGACGCTAAAAGTTTGCTTCCATGAGCTGCCGCGAGAGGCGCTCGCGAAACATCAATGCTTACCGATGCATTACTTTCTTCATTATATTTGTATAAGTGTGATACTATTATAGTAGTGTTTTACAGTATTAGCAGACACAATAGAAATTCTCGCCGATAGTACGAAAGTTTCATAGAACACCTGGCGGACTACATCCGCAGTAAACCTTTGAGATCACAAAAATAGGGATGAAGTCGGACCATCTCCCCTTCTTATACCATCTTATCAAAGATTGTAAGGACTGAAGCTGAAGTTCTTTGGACATCTTTGTCTTACAGTGAACAACTTACTTATCAACATCAGCACTTATTATTTGAATCTGGTATCAATATCATCAAACTAGGTCCCAAACTACAATCGAATGAAGAATAAAGACCTGGACAAAATTATGTTTGGTCTGTCAATATTCCTATCACGTTCAGAATAAATTAGGCTCTTAATCTACAGGGTGTCCCAAAAATGTCTCGTAATCCGGAAATGGGAGGTTCCCGTAGTCATACGAAGCAACTTTTTCCTTTACAAAAATTTTCTCCAAGGCATCGTTCACGAGTTATTAACGAAAAACAGTGGCCAATGGGAGGCGAGCTTGGCTGGCACGTGGCGACGGAGCCAATGAGCGGAACTGGACTTCCCCCAATCATTTGCTCGGCCACCATGCGCCAGCCGAGCTCGTCTCTCATTGGTCACCGTTTTTCATTAATAACTCGTGAACGATGCCTCGGAGAAAATTTTTGTAAAGGAAAAAGTTGCTTCGAATGACCACGGGAACCACGGGATTACGAGACATTTTTGAGACACCATGTATAAGGTCTAATCATTAGACCTATCACAGCTTCGACTTTCGTGCATTCACATAAAACCCAAAGCCCATTAAAATGTCAATCTCCATAAAACGACAGCGATAACATCTATTTTCGAGATGAACAGAGGTTACTGTTTTCATCGTACGAGCGATTTCCGAGCGAAGTTCTTCGGGAACGAGAAATCCGGGTGGAAGATAGCAGATCGGAGGATCGGTGTCCCCGTAACGATTCCACCCCGGCAACGCGGTCGTTTCCTGTGGCGACCATAAGAGAGCAAGGGAGAAGATGAGCTCGCCGGGGGAGGACGTTGTCCGGGACTTTTCGTATAGAGATAACAACTTGATAATGGCCTACGGTGACCCAAGGTCTCGCGAGATAACCGAACGACACTGAACATCTCGACTTGGACCCCGCGGCGGTATTTGGATCCTTGTCGGGGCCGCGCGCGGGGATCATTATAGTGATTAATGCTGATGGAAGAGCCAGATAGCGCTGATTTATCGATGTCACCGCGCAACGGATCCGAGACGGTGACGAGATAAATGGTGGACGCGTCCTCTTACGCCTTTCTTCCCGCTCGGCTTGTAATGCCCGCGAAATAGTGCCGATCAAGAGTGAAAACCGGCGGCCGGAGGCTTGATGAGTCGATTACCAGACGTCGCCACGAATTTCTCCCATTAGAGGGTTCCTGGAAAGGGAAACTGCCGCTTCGGAGACGTACAGATTCATTGCGGACGCACCGCGACTGTTTCCTACGAATAATAGATGACGAATGGCGATGATTCAATTAAAAGCCTCTTTGTGTCGCAGCGAAATTCCTTCGCGAGGAATTACGTAACAGGAAGTGTCCGCGAGATTAATAATCTTGGTAGAAGCAACTTGATCGAAACCAAGGTACAATGGAATTATTGACGACTGCATGATCGGTTGTTTTTCTTCTTTCTTAAATAACCGGTTTCCTGTTTTTTTCCCGTTAAGATTGTTGACATTGTAAAGGACCTTTTACAGGAAATGATTAAATTTATTACATTGCGTTAAAAATGGCTTGGTGATATTTTAACCGAGCTGTCGCATTAACGCATTTTCCACTAAATAACTCTTGCAATTCATTGCGATTATTATGACATTAATGTCATTCCCCTTTTAACCCCTTGCACTTAGTCTACTTTAATCATTCCCTCGATGAAACGAGACAATTTTTGCTTTATCATTTACTTTCATTTCTAGACTTCGATAACAGAAGAATCTGTCTCGATCCAGATGAAACAAATAACATAAATAATTACTAAATCATGTATAAAATCTTCATCGCCGACTCGTTGTTATAATGCAAAGCGTTAATAATTTCAACAAGCTGTAACTAATACATTGATATTCCTAAATAAATATAATTTGTCTGTTTCAAATCGCATCTGGGTGCTCATTGTTGTTACAAATACAAAAAAAATCCGCAGTTCAGCGATCATTCACAATTTTCGCTTGCACTTCGTCGCGTCTTTGTTGCGGTTCATAATTGAAAAGTCAGCCGGTCGAAATGTCGAACGAGCAACAATTTTGCCACGTTCGCCGCGGACAAAAGATCGGTATTACACGGTTCATTAGATTCGCTACCGTTGCCGCATTGTTTCTATAAAGATGTCAATGGCTGAAATAAAAATGTCCGATTGCGCGGAGGACCGCCCCGCCGTGTCAGTAGCTAATTCTAGAAACGTCTTATCTGCCGTCCGATCCCGTGTCGGAGAGAAATTCGCTGTCTCCGGCAGCAAGTTGATTACTTCACTCCCGATTACGTTACGTTATTAATAACGTTATCTCAATCGCGGTATCGAGCGGCGTGTCATTTAGCGTGGCGCGATCAATAACGAAGAGATCGATCGCACGGGTCGATGAACAGTGAGAAAGGACCGGACACAGATTTCGAAAGGCGAACTTTTCGAGACAACTTTATTCCGTGGGCCCGTTTCTCGGCTGTCTGTACCCGGCCGGCGGACAATAACGCTTTCCTTGTTCGTGTCGTACGCGAGCCGCACCGGTGTTCTCTCCGCGGTGCGCCTTTCCTGGCGTGGGCTAATGTATTCTATTCGATTAAACAAACACAGTATCTCGTAGGGAAGCTTGTACGTACGCAACAAGCGCCGAGGCACCGTGAGCCGAGGGCAACCAGTCCATGCAAATATTCTTGACCTCCCACCTGGCCGGCCAAATTGAACGATCTGCCGTTCGTTCGATCGGTACGATTTTTCACCGCACTCAATTACGCCCGCTTCAAAAATTAAGACACACGCTCCGTGGATATTCTCGACCTTTCACTTCGCTCGAGGATTACACGATCAACGAGTGCCGACGCTAAGTTAGGGGGTGCTACCAAGGAAATTGAGTCTCCTTCCGGGAATGCTGCGATACATTACCCCGTTGAACTCGAGTGGTGACTCTGAGGCACCACTAAGACTGTTATATCACGTTTCAAGATAATTTTTATATTAACGAAGCTTAGATTTTAAAAATTGTTGGAAGTGTAACTGTTATACGAGTCATCGCGAGACTCGATTTCATGCGCATAAAATGCACTTTGTCGTATAAATTGGAAATACTGTAAGTCAGAAAAAATATTTTCGATTTACAGTTAAAATGACTTCGAGTGCGAAGGGTTAATTTATGTAGGACATCGATCGTGATTTTTTACTCCCGATATGCAGCATTTGTTTCTTTAAAAACGAGGTCCATTGTGCTTTGATTTACGCGGTGCAAACATATCTTTATTGTAGGATCTTTCGGTCGATAAATCAATGTAATCGATTTCTCGATAAACGATAAATAGCAGGGCTGCTTTCTCGAAAAAAAACATCGACATTTGTCTTCTGTTTCTCTTCTGGTTAAGTTCACTCGTCGGAATAAAAATCGCGCTTTTCATTATTAGCTTTTTTACAGCATTGTTACCTTTTACAGCTAATTCTCGAGATCTGAGCCATCCGTACAATTAGCCTCTCAAATATTTATTTAAAATGGAAGAACACGAGCGCACGATATGTCCTATTTTTGGGGACCAAAAAATGCGATGAATCAATACGACGAACGGAACGATAAGTGTTTGTATGATAACCTCACCGCCAGTATGTTAACCAACAATTTCTCAGGGGTGGTCCAGGTGCGGGGTAACAGGCTTATCGCACCTAAGCCCGGCTGGCACTGCGTAGCCTACTCGAGCCGCGCTTCTTAAGAATCTCTTCGTGGTCGGTTCACGGCGAATTATCATACGCGAGGCGGCGTTTGAATGGCTGGCTTATAAACGGCACTTCCCATCGGCCTGGTGTGTTCATTGCGAGGTTGAAAAGCCCCGGCCCCGTTTAAGAATAATAAGAATAGCGTTGTTTGCGATCCCCGGTTGGCCAATCGGCGTCATACGCGTTAGAGTTACACGCGACAGTGTCTATACGGTAAGGCCGATGGGGCAGAAACGGATAGGGAGAATTTCTACCTGGAAGTCTCTATCTTCCGGCCAGTTAATGCCGTCGCCCCGCCGAATATTTTATCGAGACGAGCGATAGAGGGAAAAATGGAACGTAGACAATACACAGTATAACTCTCGTTTCGCCCACGTGCCCGAGATCGTTCGGAGGCGTGGGTTTGTCCCGGTGAGTTCGACCGAATTTTACGAGGTGCCTCCTTCCCCGGCTGGCCTACCTAATTTTTCACACTTATGTAAGATCGAAAGCCACTCGGCACGCGGATTTATGCGATCCTGCAGAAATGCGTGTCGCGCGTTCCTCGCGGCCTAATAAAAATGTATCGAATCATACGCTGCGAACTGTTCCATCGTGTTTGGTCACTTGGATCCGTCTACTTTGGTTTAATTCGTGGTTCTTGAAATTCCTCTGGCAATCGAAGTTCTGAGCTCGTTCGATACAATCTCAGGATATAATGGATTTGTTGGCAGTAGACGACGGATTTTTGTGCGGAAGAAAAATGGTCTAGATTATTTGCAAGACACGAAACGTACGTATACGTTTCCTTCTTCCTTTAATTACTTCGTTGCGCTGAAAGTATTGAAATAGTACTTTTAAATTCTTCAGATATTTTGTACTCGATCTACACGTTTTTGGCACAAATGCATAAAATCTGTAGTTCAATTATTAGACACTGGACCAAGCGAAATACGAGGAGAATTGTAAAGTAACATAAACTATTACATTTATTCAGAAGGGAATTTAATTACTATTTTTTCCTTCCACGGTGTTCGTGAAAGCTTGCACTAACTAAAGCAATAATATCTTCGAATACTGCACTATAATACAATGGTTCATGGTACGATAATCAAGCAACGACATTATTAATAATATCAAAGTGAGATAATAATTAATATGAAAATACAGAAGACAGTAAATTCGAAGAACACAAATTTGAAGACCAATAACAAGATAGTAATAAAAAATATTATATACATAAGGTCCTAATACACAGTCCGGATCGTACACATGAATTTCAAAGACCCTAAAAGGGTTAACTTCTGCTCGTTGCGATTCGGCAAAGCTAAAATTTTAAATTTTGCACAATAACACAGACAACCAGACAAAAACTTGCACCTCTCGATCGCACAGAAGCAGTTCCCTTCCTCGGACGGTCGAAGAAAAATCCCGCGAGCACTTCACCCGATAAGTGTCCCAATTTGCAAGCAGAGTAGTGCATCGCCGAGGCACACCGATCTCTTAGGCTTGAATTCCCGTGCTTGTTCCCTCTTAACACCCCTTGTAAAAGTTCTTCAATTACCGAAGGACAAATGATCGCCGGTCGGTCGTAAAGCGCGCGGAGGTATACGGGTTTGTCAAGCGGAGGGGGCCCCGAATATACGGCCCGCTCCAAAATTAAATTAACACTTATTACCCAACATGCAAATGAGCGGAGGGGGCGTGCGGCGTCGGATCGGCCGGCGAGGAATGCGTTGATAAAAAAAATTTATTTCACCGGCCGTAGGACCCGCCGCGTCGCGTCGCGCCGCATCGGGCCGCGCCGCGCCGTGCCCGCGTCGGTCCCGCGCCACCACCTCCTCCACCTCCACCTCCACCTCCCCCGCACGACCACCGCCGGGCTCGCCTGCTTCGACATACAAATTTACCTCGTTATCCGGCGCGCGGTGTACCGGATACCGCCGGTATGGAATTTTCGATCGATCGTAGAGAGCGGCGCGCACGTGGGGTCCCCGGGTCCACGGCTGGAGAGACGTTGTCGATACACACGGCTAAACAAATCCGCCGGCTCGGAAACGCAATAAACGTCGCCGCGGCGACGCCGTATGAGCTCGTTCGGGCGACAGTTAGGTGGCCACTTTCCCCACGTGGAAGGCCGGGGCCTCGGCACGAAGCGCCGGAAAGAAATGTGGCGCTTAAATAAGAGGGACCTCGAGATTACCGCGTGAGACCTCGCGCGCGTATAAGTAAGATCTCGGGATTTTATGTCGTTACCTCACACGAAGCTGCCGCTCCGGACCGGCGCGGCCGTTAAGTCCGAGTCTCGTCTCCTTTTTCTCTCTTCCGTTCGTTTTCATCGATCCGTTCTCTCCCTCTCCCCTCCCACCCCCCCTCCTCCTTTTTCTGGTATCCTCGAGCGCACCGGGCCCCTTTTGCGCGCTTTTGTCGGTCCCAATCCGCGCGCGCGGCCAGCCGATCACCGCTGGCTCGTGGGTGGCTCTCGAGTGTTCGGCCATGTAAACAGGTGTAATGGGACCTGGCAGGCTCGCCGGACCCGACGCGATGATTCATGGAAACCCGTGTGCGACGTCTAATCGCCGCGGACCGGCGAGATGCGCGACAGACACCTGGAATTCCTGCGGGACGGTGTCGCGCGATGGGATCCCGTGGTTACGAGCCGCTGAACCAACTGTTATTTGTTCTTTAGCACGGCTCTTTCGCCGGCTCTTAATGGGACGCTTTCGTTGCGAGGTTTCGCGGTGAAACTTGCTCGGGTGATGTAACGGCAATAGGGAAGTGATCATATCGCTTGGCCAGGTATTCGTGCACCGCTTTCGGCGTGTTCCGACGCGGCTTCCAAAACTTCGCGATGATCGTTTTTATACTTTGAACGTAAGTCACGGATACCAGATACGGTAATGTCTGTCGAATTGACGCTCAGATTGTCCACAAAAATGGACAATTTGGGGAGAAGTGATACGATTATTCGAGCTTTGAGTGTGATTTTTGTTCGAACAGTTTGATCGCCGCGACAAACGCCTACGAAAAAATTTCGTGTAATTAAAGTATTTGTTTTGGTGAAATAAAAATTGAAGGGTTGAGTTGGATGACGTCGTTTAGTTTTTTCAATGTACTTATGGTGTGACGATACTAACGAAATTAGGAAAGTAACGCGTCGGTCAAAGTGTTGCAGACAATTATTAACATTTTTCATCAGATCAGTGGTCGGCAGTTCGTGATTTTTTGAAACGATTTCGCGATTGTTTTTGAATCTCTGCTACCTTGGATTAAAATAGACACTTCCAGCTTTAATTTGGGCTTTGTTGTATACAAAATGTCCCGCGGGAACATACTTTAAAATGGATCGAAAATAACCCCTAGAAATTCGACTGCATTTATCGGATCTGACAAGATTTACTGATTTTTCCAATTAAACTATAGCGAACTTAAGCAAACCTAAGCAAACGTAAACAAAGCTATTTTAAAGTACAATCTCCCAGCATTTATTTGAGCCATCAAGTGTTGAAAGGAAGAATGCATCAGCTGATTTAGAAGTTACTCTTTCCCCATTAAATAAAATTTTCTAAAAATCAACGGTAAGATCCACAATTAATTTTCTTCTTTTTACGAGATCTCCTGAATCGGAATAAACGCAACATATTGTAAAGCAGGCGCTAATGGAGGAGATGAATGAACAACCAGCAAACACGAAGAAAATTAGTGAAATAGTAAAAACCGGCGAGGGCTTGCGCAGAATGAGGAACAACTCCGGTGCCCGGCCATAAAAAGAACGGAACAGAGGGGGCGAGGAACAGTTCGTGAAAGTTCGGAAGATCGTGTGGAAGTAGGGTAATAAACGTGTCGGTATTATGGAAGAAATATGTCTCGCGTTTTTCGACACGGTTTGGATTTTAACAGGCTGATGAAATTTATATTTGCCTCGTCGAAGCAAAGAATTTCATTCTGGATCCTGCTGCGTTTAGGAAGAAGCCTCGCTCGTGAAAAATTCAATTTATTTTCGTTCTGGACGAGACAATCTCCGGATACGGGAATTCCAATAGACCATCTCCGCGGCCGCTGTGTTGAAGCACCTGTCGATGTCCGTCGTTGAAAAATCAAATTCGCGGTGCCGGTACGACCGAATAAATCAATCGCCAGCGGTCGAGCCGGTGCCGTTTATTAAACTCCTTCCAGCCGTGGTACTGGGAAGATGAAAGGATAAATGTTTTCCGGCTCGGTGAAAAGTTCCTCTCTTTTATTTACGCTTCCAGAACGACCGCAGTAAAGCCGGGTATACAATCGGTGTCCGTAAATCTAGTATTAATTTCGACAACCTTAGGCTTCATCAACGAAAGGATAGCGGCGATGTAACGTGTCGTACGTTACATAGACGTACCGTAATACGAGCATACACCGTTACACCGTGAAACGCACTATAAATAAAGCGCTTCTATTAAATCCGTACGGATAAATACAGGCTGAATAGAGCGATTCGGAGAACTCCGCGGAATAAATACATTCTTTTACGGATTACTCGTCACTCGCGGCCGTAACATTGCACATTCTGGCGCCAGTCTGCCTACTTACACTCGCGTCGAGGAAAAGTGGCGGAGAGTAAGTCGCAAAACTTCTCTCTCCCGCATCGCCCTCTTTCTCTCTCTCTTTCTCTCACTCTCTCTCTTGTTCTCTCCCTCTCTCGCTCTTTTCCCTGCTTTCTCTCTCTTTCTCTCTCTCTCTTTCTCTCTTTCTCTCTTTCTCTCTTTCTCTCTCTCTCTCTCTCTCTCTTTCTCTCTTTCTCTCCGTCGTTCCCTTTCCCTCTCCGTGAACCGGGTCGTTTTATCGTCGGATGGTAAAATGTATGAAATACGATAAAATGTACCGGTATTTTCTCACCGACGATCTTTAGCACACGGCCCAGCCACGAGACAAGGTGGAGGTTCTACGAGATCGTAAAGTAAAGCCCTATTGGATCGTCATGGTGTCCATGAGGAATCGTACG